GGGAACCTTTGTGACAAGGGGTGGGAATTGACTGGGCGCAAAATAGGCAAACTCGGCTCTAGCTTACAATATGTATCAGTATGTCGCCCCTGCCTGCAGGAATCGGAATCGCGCAGCTGAATCGCGCGGCACTTCTCTTGGGTGATAAAAAGTGGCTTGTGGAAAGACGCAAAGAAGTAGATCTTTGACCTAGATCCTGCAGTGGAGAGGCTAGAATAAGGGTACCCTTTTTTCTGTAGTCTATTTAGTAGGGGAACCCTCCCCCAAAAAAGGGCAAAAGGGCACTACTGGGGGACCTAGTCACCATAAAACTGCTGTGGATGAACAAAATCCGTTCGCACCACCTAAGAAACCATGGTTGAAGCCATTGTTTGTTGGAATTAGCAGGGAGTCGTCATTCCAGGGATTCTTCGTTGGTGCAGGATGTCGTCCATCCACAGTATGTATAACAAACCTGCGCATATGAAACTTTCACACACGTGTGGCGTGGCTTGCTTCATTTATGCTGCCTGCGAAACGTAGCTCGCTTTCCAAGTGACGGTGATATCGTTGACATCAAAAACATCCTGAATCGAAACTGGGCTCTCACTGCATCCTGCTATACCATGCAAAAGCGACGTTGAAAGTCTAGACAAAAGGCCTAAAAATAATGCCAACCCTTCTGCAATTGTACTTTATTGCAGCGAAATGAAATCGTGACTGCATACATGGGGCTTGAGAATTTGGTGTTCCGTCCTGCTCGTCTACATTCCCGGTCAAGGGCTCATGACCATGAATGGGTTGATGATCCTCTCTTCTCCACAGTTCTTTTCTAGAACCCTACTGATAAATCACGTTATCCCTTCTGAAACACTGCATCAATCCAGCCAACTGATGTCAACAAACCACAATGTTCTGCCATGCTTCACGGGTCCGAATTGGGAAGTTGAAAAAACTAAGGATCCCTACTCAAAGCGGTATTGTGCTTAGTAAGTAGTTAAGAAGCCTGGTTATAACCCACTTCCCATGCTTATAAGCCTCTTGTCACCAGGCTTACTAACCGTTCACGTATTGTGCATTTTCCGGGAAAACAAGGTAAACCTTCCCTGTTCACGTGCTTTTCGTCCGGGAGAAAAAAAAAAAAGGAAAAAAAGAAAAAAACAAAACAAAAAAAAACAACAGCACGCACCACCTTTCCGAGGTCTTCGCGACCTTCCAAGCCCAGCTCGTTCACATCCTCAGAAGTCGGGGAAGTCGGTTTGGACATGTCGATGCTGTGCCCAAAACTTGATTGCTGTTGACCCCTCTGCCAAAGTTTAACTTTTTGCGGGTTCAATGCAAAACCCCTTGATTTTCCAAAAAGTTAAAGTCTAAAGATCCAGTCAAGAAAACGGCGCCCTCGAAACTCTGCGATGCGAAGCTTGCTTTCTTGCTTTGTTTCGGGTCTGCTTGCCCTGGTAGATCCTACTCTAGGGAGGATGCCGACCAGAAAAGGAACCAGTGTACTTTTGAGAATTCCGACTGCCAATCACCTGCCTCCCTGACTTTGAAAGTGGGGGCCAAAGATTTCCCTGAAGTTGCCCAACATTTGCGGTTGGGTTGCTGTGCCTGCCATGTGTGGGATCTTTGCCCCAGCTTTGCTCGGGGTCTTCGAAGTCTGCTTGACCGGGACGTAGTTACATCTGGGCCCCCACTGAACCAAAAGCGGCTGGAAGTTCGAAGCGTTGGGGAAAATTCGGCCCAACTGCGGGGGTCTTCTGTACTCATCCTTGTGCTCACTTGCCCAAAGGACCTGGAAATAAAAGGTTAACCTTTTGGGACCTCCACTAAAAGTAGACCAAAAAGGGAAAACCAAAAGGTCAAAAGGTCGTCTTCGAACAACTGAGTGTGAACTGAGAAACGGAGCCAAGTACGTATCCACATGGCCATCAAGCATGTCACCCAAGCTGGGAAGCTGGCACTTGGAGACCCCTCCTGTTAAAGAGGCAAACAACTCCTTACATGGGAGACACGATGCCGCGTGCCTAGCAACAGCTGAACACAACGCAAAGAAGTACAACACTGGGCCACACCGCAATCACCACCTCAAGCCACCAGACCATGAATACCCCAAACAAATCCAAACTTGGCCCCTTGGGCCAAACGCAGCCAGGCGCCCTTGGTCCAGGGTCTGGTTTTTTTCCTTCCAAAAGCGGGAGCCGCCCAAACCCCGCCGATTTTCTCTCGCCGAGGCTCATCGAAGTTCACGCCCCCGCGAAAGGGGTCCCCATTCCGGCGCAAGGCCTGGCATCTGGCTGACATGGAGAGGGCCAGATGCAAAACAATGGACATGGGCGCAAGATAAGAAGTGCTGCAGGCTGAAAACGGGCAGATTGACCAAAGAAATGGACGTCGGCACCTGATTGACTAAAGAAAATGCAAGCTGGAAAAAGATCGAGATGGCACACACTGAAAAAAACACGGAAGGGCTGGACAAAAGCATCCGTGATGCGCACGCATGGAATCTCCAGGCATCCGGCGAGTCAGGGCACACGAGGAAGCCTTTGCAGCTGAACTCTCTCTTAGGGACCCAGAGATATAAAAGGTGATCACCTTTCGGAGCCATGGCTAAAAATTGGAACTCGAAATTGGGTGACGAAAAATGGAACCCGAAATTGGGTGACGAAAAATGGAACCCGAAATTGGGTGACTTAAAAATTGGAACCCGAAATTGGGCGACTAAAAATGGAACCCGACATTGGGTGACTAAAAATGGAACCCGAAATTGGGTGACTAAAAATGGAACCCGAAATTGGGTGACTAAAAATGGAACCCGAAATTGGGTGACTAAAAATGGAACCCGACATTGGGTGACTTAAAAATGGAACCCGAAATTGGGTGACTAAAAATGGAACCCGACATTGGGTGACTAAAAATGGAACCCGAAATTGGGTGACTAAAAATGGAACCCGAAATTGGGTGACGAAAAATGGAACCCGACATTGGGTGACTTAAAAATGGAACCCGAAATTGGGTGACTAAAAATGGAACCCGAAATTGGGTGACTAAAAATGGAACCCGACATTGGGTGACTTAAAAATGGGAACCCGAGATTGGGTGACCTAAAAATGGAACCCGAAATTGGGTGACTAAAAATGGAACCCGAAATTGGGTGACCTAAAAATGGAACCCGAAATTGGGTGACTAAAAATGGAACCCGAAATTGGGTGACTAAAAATGGAACCCGAAATTGGGTGACTAAAAATGGAACCCGAAATTGGGTGACGAAAAAATGGGAACCCGAGATTGGGTGACTAAAAATGGAACCCGAAATTGGGTGACTTAAAAATGGAACCCGACATTGGGTGACTAAAAAATGGAACCCGAAATTGGGTGACTAAAAAATGGAACCCGAAATTGGGTGACTAAAAATGGAACCCGAAATTGGGTGACTAAAAATGGAACCCGAGATTGGGTGACTAAAAATGGAACCCGAAATTGGGTGACTTAAAAATGGAACCCGAGATTGGGGGACTAAAAATGGAACCCGAAATTGGGTGACTTAAAAATGGAACCCGAAATTGGGTGACTAAAAATGGAACCCGGAATTGGGTGACTTAAAAATGGAACCCGAGATTGGGTGACTAAAAAAATGGAACCCGAAATTGGGTGACTAAAAATGGAACCCGAAATTGGGTGACTAAAAATGGAACCCGAAATTTGGTGACGAAAAAATGGGAACCCGAGATTGGGTGACTAAAAATGGAACCCGAAATTGGGTGACTTAAAAATGGAACCCGAGATTGGGTGACTAAAAATGGAACCCGGAATTGGGTGACTTAAAAATGGAACCCGAGATTGGGTGACTAAAAATGGAACCCGAAATTGGGTGACGTAAAAATGGAACCCGAGATTGGGTGACTTAAAATGGAACCCAAAATTGGGTGACTTAAAAATGGAACCCGAAATTGGGTGACGAAAAATGGAACCCGAGATTGGGTGACTAAAAATGGAACCCGAAATTGGGTGACTTAAAAATGGAACCCGAGATTGGGTGACTAAAAATGGAACCCGAAATTTGGTGACTTAAAAATGGAACCCGAGATTGGGTGACTTAAAATTGGAACCCGACATTGGGTGACTGAAAAATGGAACCCGAGATTGGGTGACTAAAAATGGAACCCGAAATTGGGTGACTTAAAAATGGAACCCGAGGTTGGGTGACTAAAAATGGAACCCGAAATTGGGTGACTTAAAAATGGAACCCGAGATTGGGTGACTTAAAATTGGAACCCGACATTGGGTGACTTAAAAATGGGAACCCGAGATTGGGTGACTAAAAATGGAACCCGAAATTGGGTGACTTAAAAATGGAACCCAAGATTGGGTGACTTAAAATTGGAACCCGAAATTGGGTGACTTAAAAATGGAACCCGAAATTGGGTGACTAAAAATGGAACCCGAAATTGGGTGACTAAAAATGGAACCCGAAATTGGGTGACGAAAAAATGGGAACCCGAGATTGGGTGACTAAAAATGGAACCCGAAATTGGGTGACTTAAAAATGGAACCCGACATTGGGTGACTAAAAAATGGAACCCGAAATTGGGTGACTAAAAATGGGAACCCGAAATTGGGTGACTTAAAAATTGGAACCCGGAATTGGGTGACTTAAAAATGGAACCCGAAATTGGGTGACTTAAAAATGGAACCCGAAATTGGGTGACTTAAAAATGGGAACCCAAAACTGGGTGACTTAAAAATGGGAACCCGAAACTGGGAAGCCAAAAGGTGAGACGGTCGATTCGCTTTGGATTGAGTAAATGGTAGCAGTTCAGCCATGCAAAGTTGTCAATCAATTGTGGGCAACATCTAAGCCTAACCATTGCGGCTGAATCCCTTCTCAGGCGCCTGCTCTGTTTATGCCCTGAAAGCGCGGCCACCCAGCCACCCAGCCTCGACACCGCTCAGGATCAGGTCATACTTCAGGGTGAACTCAGCATCGACTGGCACCCGCACCTGCCAAAGCGAAATACGATTGAATATTTGCGCACTCACACGTGGTGCAATGAAGCCGAGGAGCAACAATAACAAGGTTCCATACAATGCACTTGCAAAAAATACATGTGCGTGTATGTACCACATATATATATATATATAAATACAAAGGCATGTATATACATACATGTATATATATGGTACATAGGACGAATATGGTTGTGTGTACGTGTCAAACCTAGGGCCCTTCCCAAGAGACTAGTGACACGTTGGGGCCCCCGTTTCGGGGTCTCTAGTCCTGACGGGTCAAACATCGAAAACCGCTTGGTGTTCTCCGGGCTGCTGACCGCAAGCCCGCCCACGCAGGCAAGCCTTCGTGGTAACCCTGGCAGAAACGGGAAACCAAGCTTTTGGACAGGGCTGTGGGAAATGGAATCCACTCCTGTGATACAACAAGAAGCGCCTCCCAAAGACTAACCCCCATACAAAAGGGGGATTCCCAAAAGTATCACAGAAGTAGTTGGATAAACCCCGAATGATCCCACAACCCAAAGCTTTCGGAACCTGACCATTTTCAGTGGGAAACCTCGAAGGAAGTAGAAGCTCCAAGGCGCTTGATGGTTTGCATATCGGCGGGGCCGATGAATATTCAGTTTTGACCATGGCTAACTTTTCCCATGTGCACAATATCCACAATCCCAGGGGTTCCCGCACAAGCCTGCGTATGTGGTGAGCAACACTCTTGGTCCGTCAGGCAAACTGCCCCAGACCCATCTTGCGCCTCGTCGTGGCTGTCGCCGAAGCGAATTCGGTCGTACACTGCAGCCACGAACTCGGGCGCGTGTAGGCCTCGGCGACGACCAAAAGCCCTGACACCCTTTTCACATCTGGGTCCCTTTAACAGGAAAAGTGGGTCCAAACCAGGACCATGACACAAAAGAAAACTCAAGACCCACATCCACTTTGGTGTTTTTTGGCACCCGGTAGAGGTGTTGTTTTGTTTTTTTTCTAGGGCTGGAGCTGTCCCTTTTTGGAGCCAGTAAAACAAAGACAACTCCTAGGTCTTCCAGTACAGAGGTTAGAATAAGGATACCAACTTTTTTTCCTAGGGGAACCCTCCCAACCAAAAAAGGGTGAGAAAGGGCACTACTGGGGGACCTAGACATGGAACCTGAGGCTCGAAGAGAAAGGTTCCAAACAAGGAAGGCGTTTGAAATGTCGGGTTCCAGGAAACGGTCGCTTCACCTGAAGTTGAACCCTGGAGCGGCTTGCATGTTCGTGGGTAGTTGGCCAACTGGCAAACTGGGCGCTCCAAATACCTCTCAGTCCCATCAAGGTCTAATCGAACACTTGGACCAAGACTGCAACCACGGGCCTTCTTTCGTTTTACCCCAATAACACAAGTAACGTACTTATCCGATGTGCCAGATACTTCGCAAACACTATTTCTGGGGGCGGGGGGACAAAGCAGATCGCCAGGTATGGTTCGCTGAGGCCAACAAGATCTGCGTTGACTGATGTTGACCCAGGATTAATAAACCCGTCCCATTGTTTTATTTGGGTGTTCCCTCCAAAAGTGGTCTGAATCCCCACTAAAAGGGGACACCCCCCCGATCAAAATCAACCAGGGTTCTGCTTCATCCGGGGATAGCATTACAGCTTGTCCTTTTGGGGAAAATAGATGGATATTTCTGGTAGTTGATTGAACCACCAGGTAAACCAGGGCCCTCTATTTTTCAACCAAATCAACCAAAAAGGGCACCTATGACTACAGCTGCCTCGTTTCAAAAGGAGGTGTCCGCCTTCGATCGAGGCTTTGGCTGTGCTCGGCCAAGGACTCCAAGGTCCGGAGGAGCAGCATCTGCAAGGATCAGCCAGAAAGCCAAGAACAAAAACACCAAGAACCTTTGTAGGTTTAAGAAATGCTATGGACTGGTAGTATACAATATACAATACTTGTTGCAAAACACCTACACTCCCTGGAATTAAACAGGAAGTCCGTGCTCTCAGAAGTCCCTCTAACATGGAAGTCCCTTCACCGTCTTTTCCTGGGGAAATGCCTGTCTTTTTTTACTGGGGAGGTACGACCATCTCCTAACATAGAATCTGTGCCAGGTGCCCCTTGCCACATCCTGGGGTTTCCCAAAACAACCCTAGATTCTTCGGGGGGCCGGTTTCGAGCCTGCACTTCCATATAAACGAAGAAACGAGAGCGAAAACACACGTTCTGACCGACGAAAGTATCCTAACATAGAACCTGAAAATGGGCCCTGCACTTCCATGTAAAGGAGAACACGTGTGCTTAACATGGAAGTGCAGGCTCCTCGTTTGCCCTATTGTTTTTCGGGGGTCAATAGGGAAACTATGATTATGTTAGGAGCAGTTTCGCATATCCCTGAGAAAAGTTGTGACGCGGCAAAAGTCGTGAAGCGGCATTTCCCCGGTACGCTTAAAATTATGGTGTGCCCGCCCGCTAATGTTTCCGAGTCAATCTCACCCCCACATGCCCTGGGCCAGTTCTGGAAGGGGTGTGGGGGGAGTTCGGTTTGTGTTGGGGGGGGGGGTTTGATGGTTTGAGGGAGCCGTTGCCCAAACCATCGTCGGAAGTCAGCTGCGTGTTTTGAAATGCAGAAGCCGACCAAAAACCCCCAGGGACTTCTATGTTAGCATTTATCAAAAGCCTGGTTTTTTCGACTAACCTGCAAACATTAAAAAATAGAAACTTCGGAGCTTCCTGTTTAATTCCAGGGAGTGTACCTCCAAAGCCAGAAATGCTTCACGGACCTTGTAAGCCACAAGGAACAATCATGTGGCTGGGTATTTCACCAACCTGAAATAAGGTGTTGGGGGGGGGTGATTCCCCACATAAAGCACCATTTGGGGTGAGGTCGTGTGAGGTCGTTATAACTCACCCAGAAGTATCAGAAACTAAGTCAGCCAGGGAAGCAGACCAAGAACCAAAACACCTCATCCTTTGGAAGGAGAAACAAAGGGAAAGACCGGAGGTTGGTCCTTCACTTCCAAAACCCACGGTTCCTGAAGAGTTGTCCATACTGATTTGGGTGAAGGACACGAGTTTCCTAGTGCAGGTGACTAACGGCTTCTCTGTCGGCTCAAGCACCCGCTACCTTCCACCTTTGGAAACGAAGCCGGATGTCTTAGGTAAAAATGAAGGAGCCACCCTCCATTGATAATTAAAAAACAACGAGAATCCACGTAGGGTGCCACATTTCAGAAGACCGAATTCCTGTCCCACTTGTGCTTCGGAGACCCATCCATCCCTCATCTTCGTCCAATGGTCAAAAGGCATGCCCTGTGTGGGAGTGCCTCTTTTTTGAGGATGTTCCTTTTTGGTATTTTTTACTGGAACACACCAAAAAATAAAGAAAACCGCCATGTTGTTGTAGTTTTTCTAAAGCTGGCGCACCCGTCTACCTGAACAACTATTGAAGGGTCATAGGCCATCTTGAGAGAAGCTTCGGGCGAGCTGTCAAGAAGACTACTGCGATGTTTGACTGGCGAAAGGCGAGAGCCCCTCGCAAAAGGCTTCACATTCCACGTAAGAGGCAGCTCCTTTCCTCCCAAACCACATGACGTTTGATCCCGGGAACTGAGAAATTCATTGCAAGCCAAATCCACGGCCTTCAATTCATTGCAAGCCAAACTGGAGGCGACAACAAAGCAACGTCCTCAGTGAGGATGGTATCACGCAAGCGAACGCTGAATTCAAAAATGGACGGCGCGGCACTGATTCATCAACGGCTCTACAAAAAAACATAAGAATCCCGTCTTGTCCCTCAGTCCCGTCTCCCCAAATGCAACTCAACGAGTCCTACCAAACTGCACAACGCACTGCCTGACTCGCCAACCCTTCATCGCAAACCAAAGCAAGCACGAGCAGTCAGGGAACACTGCTGCTGACTGAAGCAGCGCAAATATTATTTCAAAGAGCAACTGCTGCCACACGGCTGCCAAAGGTAGTCGCTTTCCTCAGTGTGCCCGATAGGTTGATATCACGGCAGCGGACGCTGCCTTCAAAAATGGATGGCGCGGCACTGATTCATCATCGGCTCTGCAGGGGAACGTAAGAACCCAATCTCGTCACCCTATCAAATCGTCTTCACTGGCACACATTTCCATCATTCTCGTATCCCCAAATTCAAACCAACAAGTCCTACCAAACTGCACAACGCACTGCCTCACTCACCAACTTTCATCGCAAGCACGAGCAGTTACTGAACACTGTTGCTGACTGAAGCAGCGCAAATATTCCTTCAAAAAGCAACTGCTGCCACACGGCTGCCAATGGTCGCTTTCCTCAGTGTGCCCGATAGGATGGTATCATGGCAGCGGACGCTGCTTTCAAAAATGGATGGCGCGGCACTGATTCATCATCGGCTCTACAGGGGAACGTAAGAATCCTGTCTCGTCCACCAATCACATCGTCTGCACTGGCACACATTCCCATCTGTCCCGTCTCCCCAAATGCAACCCAACAAGTTCTACCAAACTGCACAACGCACTGCCTGACTCGCCAACCCTTCATCGCAAACCAAAGCAAGCACGAGCAGTCAGGGAACACTGCTGCTGACTGAAGCAGCGCAAATATTATTTCAAAGAGCAACTGCTGCCACACGGCTGCCAAAGGTAGTCGCTTTCCTCAGTGTGCCCGATAGGTTGATATCACGGCAGCGGACGCTGCCTTCAAAAATGGATGGCGCGGCACTGATTCATCATCGGCTCTGCAGGGGAACGTAAGAACCCAATCTCGTCACCCTATCAAATCGTCTTCACTGGCACACATTTCCATCATTCTCGTATCCCCAAATGCATCCCAAGGAGTGCAACCAAACTGCACAACGCACTGCCTCACTCGCCAACTTTCATCGCAAGCCAAAGCAAGCTGCTGCTGACTGAAAAGAACAAATATTTTTCAAAGAGCAACTGCTGCCACACGGCTGCCAATAGTCGCTTTCCTCAGTGTGCCCGATAGGATGGTATCACGGCAGCGGACGCTGCCTTCAAAAATGGATGGCGCGGCACTGATTCATCATCGGCTCTACAAAAGAACGTAACAATCCAATCTCGTCCTTCTATCACAACGTCTGCACTGGCACGCACTAGCATCAGTCCCGTCTCCCCAAATGCAACCCAACGAGTACAACCAAACTGGACAACGCACTGCCTCACTCGCCAACGTTCATCGCAAGCCAAAGCAAGCGAGCAGTCAGGGAACACTGCTGACTGAAGCAGCGCAAATATTATTTCAAAGAGCAACTGCTGCCACACGGCTGCCAATGGTCGCTTTCCTCAGTGTGCCCGATAGGATGGTATCACGGCAGCGGACGCTGCGTTCAAAAATGGATGGCGCGGCACTGATTCATCATCGGCTCTGCAGGGGAACGTAAGAACCCCATCTCGTCACCCTATCAAATCGTCTTCACTGGCACACATTCCCATCATTCTCGTATCCCCAAATTCAGCCCAACAGGTCCTACCAAACTGCACAACGCGCTGCCTCACTCGCCAACGTTCATCGCAAGCCAAAGCAAGCGAGCAGTCAGGGAACACTGCTGCTGACTGAAGCAGCGCAAATATTCCTTCAAAGAGCAACTCCTGCCACACGGCTGCCAAACATGGTCCCTTTCTTCAGTGTGCCCGATAGGAAGGTATCACGGCAGCGGAGGCTGCCTTCAAAAATGGATGGCGCGGCACTGATTCATCATCGGCTCTACAGGGAAACGTAAGAATCCAATCTCGTCCCCCTATCACATCGTCTGCACTGGCACGCACTAGCATCAGTCCCGTCTCCCCAAATGCAGCCGAACAAGTTCTACCAAACTGCACAACGCACCTCATGCGCCAACCCTTCATCGCAAGCCAAAGCAAGCACGAGCAGTCAGGGTGCACTGCTGCTGACTGAAGCAGCACACATGTTCTTTCAAAGAACAACGGGTCCCACACTGCCAAACAAGGTCCCTTTCCTCAGTGTGCCCGATAGGATGGTATCACGGCAGCGGAGGCTGCCTTCAAAAATGGATGGCGCGGCACTGATTCATCATCGGCTCTACAGGGAAACGTAAAAATCCTGTCTCGTCCCTCTATCACATCGTCTGCTCTGGCAGACATTTCCATCATTCCCGTCTCCCCAAATTAAACCCAACGAGTACAACCAAACTGCACAACACACCTCATGCGCCAACCCTTCATCGCAAGCCAAAGCAAGCACGAGCAGTCAGGGAACCTGCTGCTGACTGAAGCAGCGCAAATGCCCTAACTGCTGCCAAACGGCTGCCAAACATGGTCCTTTTCCTCAGTGTGCCCGATAGGATGGTATCACGGCAGCGGACGCTGCCTTCAAAAATGGATGGCGCGGCACTGATTCATCATCGGCTCTACAAAAGAACGTAAGAATCCAATCTCGTCCTTCTATCACAACGTCTGCACTGGCACGCACTAGCATCATTCCCGTATCCCAAAATGCAACCCAACGAGTCTAACCAAACTGCACAACGCACTGCCTCACTTGCCAACCCTTCATTGCAAGCCAAAGCAAGCACGAGCAGTCAGGGAACCTGCTGCTGACTGAAGCAGTGCAAATGCCCTAACTGCTGCCACACGGCTGCCAAACATGGTCCTTTTCCTCAGAGTGCCCGATAGGATGGTATCACGGCAGCGGACGCTGCCTTCAAAAATGGATGGCGCGGCACTGATTCATCATCGGCTCTACAGGGGAGCGTAAGAACCCATCTCGTCACCCTATCAAATCGTCTTCACTGGCACACATTTCCATCATTATCGTATCCCCAAATTCAACCCAACAAGTCCTACCAAACTGCACAACGCACTGCCTCACTCACCAACTTTCATCGCAAGCCAAAACAAGCACGAGCAGGTACTGAACACTGTTGCTGACTGAAGCAGCCCAAATAGTCTTTCAAAGAGCAACTCCTGCCACACGGCTGCCAAACATGGTCCCTGTCTTCAGTGTGCCCGATAGAAAGGTATCACGGCAGCCGAGGCTGCCTTCAAAAATGGATGGCGCGGCACTGATTCATCATCGGCTCTACAGGGAAACGTAAGAATCCTGTCTCGTCCCTCTATCACATCGTCTGCACTGGCACACATTCCCATCAGTCCCGTCTCCCCAAATGCAGCCGAACAAGTCCCACCAAACTGCACAACGCACCTCATGCGCCAACCCTTCATCGCAAGCCAAAGCAAGCACGAGCAGTCAGGGTGCACTGCTGCTGACTGAAGCAGCGCACATGTTCTTTCAAAGAACAACGGGTCCCGTCCCACACTGCCAAACAAGGTCCCTTTCCTCAGTGTGCCCGATAGGATGGTATCACGGCAGCGGAGGCTGCCTTCAAAAATGGATGGCGCGGCACTGATTCATCATCGGCTCTACAGGGAAACGTAAGAATCCTGTCTCGTCCCTCTATCACATCGTCTGCACTGGCACACATTCCCATCAGTCCCGTCTCCCCAAATTAAACCCAACGAGTACAACCAAACTGCACAACACACCTCATGCGCCAACCCTTCATCGCAAGCCAAAGCAAGCACGAGCAGTCAGGGAACCTGCTGCTGACTGAAGCAGCGCAAATGCCCTAACTGCTGCCACACGGCTGCCAAACATGTTCCTCAGTGTGCCAGATAGGATGGTATCACGGCAGCGGACGCTGCCTTCAAAAATGGATGGCGCGGCACTGATTCATCATCGGCTCTACAAAAGAACGTAAGAATCCAATCTCGTCCTTCTATCACAACGTCTGCACTGGCACGCACTAGCATCATTCCCGTATCCCAAAATGCAACCCAACGAGTCTAACCAAACTGCACAACGCACTGCCTCACTTGCCAACCCTTCATCGCAAGCCAAAGCAAGCACGAGCAGTCAGGGAACCTGCTGCTGACTGAAGCGGCGCAAATGCCCTAACTGCTGCCACACGGCTGCCAAACATGTTCCTCAGTGTGCCCGATAGGATGGTATCACGGCAGCGGACGCTGCCTTCAAAAATGGATGGCGCGGCACTGATTCATCATCGGCTCTACAGGGGAGCGTAAGAACCCATCTCGTCACCCTCATTGCATCGTCTTTACTGGCACGCACTAGCATCATTCCCGTATCCCAAAATGCAACCCAACGAGTCCTACCAAACTGCACAACGCACTGCCTCACTCGCCAACGTTCATCGCAAGCCAAAGCAAGCACGAGCAGTCAGGGAACACTGCTGCTGACTGAAGCAGCACAAATATTCTTTCAAAGAGCAACTGCTGCCACACGGCTGCCAATGGTCGCTTTCCTCAGTGTGCCCGATAGGATGGTATCACGGCAGCAGACGCTGCCTTCAAAAATGGATGGCGCGGCACTGATTCATCATGAGTGGAACCTTTCAAGTCTTCCTTCTGCCAAGCAATCCGCCACAAGAACTCACGCGCCAAAACGCCAAAAGCAAATCATGAGGACCCAGGGTGGTTGCGGTTCCTGTTGCATAGTTGCAGCCTCTCAACTTGGTGCGCGCGAACCCATTCCAGGGGGCCCCGTATGGCCCGTTGGACCCCTGATCTGCACATTTCCCCGGGTCCACATGGCCGCAAAGCGCCACAAAGGTACTGCAGAGGTTTTCCCTTTGGGCAACTCTTTTGAGGCGGACACTTCAACCGAGCTCCCAAGTGGGGAGATTCCTAGGGATCCCTACTCAAAGGGGGGCATTGCACTTCGTAAGTGGTTCGTAAGCCTGGTGGTAACCCACAAAAGCCATTAGTCTCCTTTTTGGGTTATAACCGGGCATGCTAACCACTTACTAAGTACAATGCCCCTGTAAGTAGGCCAAGCCTTTGGGGCAGGTGCCACGTAATGGATTCCAATGTCTGATTCGGTCCCCGAACCTCCACCCAAAGCTCCCAGGAGTCGCGCTGCTCTTCTGCCTGGCAGGGCCGCAGGGCGATGCGAAGCAAAGCGGAGGCAAAGCGGAGGCAGTGTGCTCGAAGAAGTCGGACTCACATCTGGGCTGTCCGTTTTCAGATCTGCTCAAAGGCTCTCTTTTAACATTGTGGGTTAAATGGAAGCCCGACCACTAAACCAACTAAAAACCTAAAAACCTAAAAACCTAAGGAACCGGATGGCTGGGAGCCACCAAGACATCTGACTCGATCTGTGCTGGGTCGTTGGAGGAATGGTCAAACCAAAAGTGTGGGGCCGGTCCATCACGCGATGCCATGTCTTTTGCCGTTCCAAGAGCGCCACCTATCTGGGCTGCCCTCAGATCTCCCGCGAAAAGTTTAACTTTTATTGGGTTAAATGGAAGCTACCACTAAACACTAAAAGGCTAACAAGCTCAGGGGACGGCTGGGAGCCACCAAGTTATGGTGTAGAGTCAGGGAACGCTCCAAATGTTATTTTCCAGTGGGGGAGGCCCCACATTTTGAAGAGCATCAAGTATCAAAGAGGACCTGAACATTATTCATACGGAGCACTACTGTGGATAGACAAAATCCTGCACCACTTTGAAACATGGGAAACCATTGGTTTGTTGGTATTTACGTTGGGGAATCAGACCATTCCAGGGAGTCTTAGGTGGTGCCTAAGAGGATTTCGCAACCATCCACAGTAGGTACTGACAACTGATGCCCTTGACAAAAAAGGTGACGCCCGGCCCCGTCTTCACACAGCTTGACGGAGGGGTCTGTTGCACGGGGCGTGAGCTCGGACATGTCTTGAGCTTGACGGGTCGCGACATGCTAATTGAGTCAAGCCTTGCTATGAAGTATCTGCTTCCGCGACGTGCTGCTCAAGCTACGGATCAGATTGAACACCCTTGCAAGACGAAGGAGAGGTGCAAAGCCAAAGCGTTACTCCCGTGCATAGTTTGCATGGAACCCAAAACCGGATCCCAAAGAGGATCTGTGTTTACCTGCGGGTTTTCTCTGCACTGCAGTGCCTCTGTGTTGGAAACCCTCGGCCGCTTTTGATCCAGCGGCGGTTTCGGTCGCCGTCACACGTACGTCGCAAGGGCCGGCGGCTCCCACAGCCTCGAAGCGGCAACCATTCTGGGGGACCGTGGAAGCCACCAAGACCTGTGGAAGCTTGAACGAATAAACCAACAGGAGAACATAAAACAATATTAGACAATATTATTGAGCAAATGGAAGAGTATTGCCCGTGCGAAACAGCACCTATGCAATGAGTACAAAACACAAGCAGGCATGGGTTGTCACATGTGGGTGATGCCATCACTGTCCATGAGGTGCGCTTAATATGTGTTAGATTAACTAGCCACTGGTTACTTGGCCATGGGTCAAAATCTCGTACCCCCAGTGAACATCCCAATCCCCCACTAAAATCCCGACCAATATGGGTGGTGCACCTACCCAAAAATGGTACCAGTGGTTTTGACCCACAGCCACTTGGTTCAAAGGATGAAATACGGAAGTCTCAAAGAAAGTCATCATGGTTGAGGTCGTTGAGCCCCGGGTGAGGTTCAGTCGCCTTTCAGTCATCTAGTCTCTTGACCCCAGAACAAAAATACACCAGTCGGCGTTGGCCGCGTTGCCCCTCTAAAGCATTAGATACAACAAAAACGTCTGGAACAGCCAACCACAAATAACACGGTGGACCTTTGCGGGTAGGGTTGATCATGAGATACAAACCAATCCTCCATAAACCTGGTTCTTTCACTGCAAATGCGGAGATTGATGTGTTCCTTTGCTGTTGCCAGGTGACACAACGGGGAATTACATTTGCTTGATAGGTATCGCAACCCAAAAAGCCCGCCCCTTGGAACTCCATGTGGGGCGACAAGTGGATAGGCCACGGCCTTCTGTGGGGCTCGCTTTCAAACACCTGCCACATGGTTGGCGCCCCGATTTCATGACAAGCTCTGTGGCAAGTGGAATCAAGGTCTATGTCCTGTTGCATATGGGTGTGCCTTTTTTTGGGGAACCCTCTGTTGGTTGGTTTTGAGAGGAACATAAAAGGAAAACCCAAGCCATTTTGGGGGGGTCCACAAACCAAAGACGAGCCACCCGCGTGTTTTTTCCGGCCAACCACAATCCGCCTGCGCCAAAAGTCGCAGTCCGCTGCATGCGCCCCGCGCTTGGCAGAGATGCCCAGGGCGTCCGGAGTGGAGAAGACCTCTCCGCGCCTACCCTGGTTGGCTGATGTTCGATGGGACCCCCAACCAAACAAAAGGCTAGGTCCGCCAGTAGAGAGGTTTGAATAAGGGTACCGTTTCTTTTTGCTGTCGTCTATTATGGTGGGGGAACCCTCCCAACCAAAAAAGGGGTGAGAAAGGGCACTACTGGGCGCCTAAACGGGGAAAAGGTGGCCGGTATATATGCTTCTCATTTGCTTCTGGGCATCTGTTGGGGGTTCTTTCTCTCTCTCTCTCTCTCACTCTCTCTCTCTCTCTCTCGCTCACTCTCTCTCTCTCTCTCTCTGTCTCTCGCTCTCTGTCTCTCTCTCTCTCTCTCTCTCTTTCTCTCTTGTGCCATTAAACTCACAGCTGTTTAGGGTCTATGCTGGGATAGAATGGCTGAGCAGCTGCGAACCTTGTTTCGATCTCCTACAAAACGTCAAGCGCCATGTCGGCAAGCCCACTTGGCAGATCGGACTCCGCAAGAGGCAAGCCCAAGCTTCTGGGGGGAAAAGAACACGTATTGTGCTGTTGTCTTTGTTTTAGCAAAAAGCACTGTTCAAAAAAAAACACAAACCACAACAAAAACGATTTAAAAACAATGAGCCAACAAATACCGGGGAAGAACAAAAACGAAGAAGAAGAAGAAGAAGAAGAAAGAAAAGACCAAGCGCGGGCGGCTTCCGTAGCTCTGGGGCCGGCGCCAACGTGGGCGCCTCAGCGGCCGGGCCCTCGTAGCCCGGCCAATTTGAAGGCGCCCCGGCGGTGGCGAAGGCCGCCCAGCGGGCGCCTGGGAGTTTCGAAGCCGACGACGGAAGCCTTGAGCGGCCATCCGAAGCCTTGAACGACAATTTCCGTCGTACGACTCGGTCTTTGGTCTGCAAGCGCTTCCCTTGGTTGACGTTGGAAGGGGAGGAAAAAAAAACCTAAATTTTGGCAGTTGAGCGGTTGGATTTCAACCACTCAGCCACAAGAAGCAAACATGTTTCGAATGTTTCCCAACAACAACCATGGAAAGCCGCGGCGGCAATCCGACGAAGCCGGTTTAGGTCGTTTCATGGAAGCCCCTGGCGAAAAATGAGAACAGACAGGGGAAAGTAAAGCATAGCGAAGAAAGGCGAAAAAAGAGAACAGATGTGCAGTTTTCCAACAGGGGGAAGTGACGCATGGTGGAAAAATGAGAACATATGTCCAGTGAAGTCGATTCCAACTTTAAAACCAGGGGAAAATGGACATACTGCAACCGATGGGGAACACACTTTTGAGCAAAGGTTTCCAGTGGTGAAGCCTACTCCAACCTGAAATCCAGGGGGGAGATAGGGAAATATTCATTCCAGCAAATGGAAGACTGGTCTGGCAGCTGAGGCTGGTCTCCAAAGTCGGCCAAAGGAGTCCAAGTGATTCCATGGAAGCTTCCAGGAGGTTCACCGGGTTCCATTTGGGTATGGCTCAAAAAACACCGGAATTCCAAAATGGGTTGCCCTGGTAAGTGGAAACATGGACCAAAACCTGCGGTTTGCCACTCCAAATGATTCCATGGAAGCTTCCACGTTGGAAAACCGGGTTCCAGTTACGAAGCTCCTCCTTTTACAAAGACAAGGGGGCGTTCATGCAGACTGAGGGAGTGTAAGCATTCAAAGTATTTAGCTTCTAAGCGTCCCAGGTACATATTGCATGACTGGCAAGAAAAGAAAGGACAGGTGAAACGCATGGCTGCAAGACATGTTCGAAGGCCTTCAACAATTTGACATGCCGAAAAGGGATCACCTGTTTAAGCTAGCCGCTTGAGGTGAAGAGAAGAAAGTGTGCCCATGCCCATATCCATCATCGATAAACATGATAAACCATCACACACACCTTGAAAGGAACCGTGCTCAGTCAGGTCCAGGTGTCGTTTTTAGAGGTTCCCCCCGCCCCCCCCTTCCCCCCCCAAATTTAGTTGTTTTCTTTTGCGCGAAACCAAAAGCAAAACCTTCTTCTTCTTCTTTTTCTTCTTCTCCTTCTTCTTCTTCTTCTTGTTCTTCTTCTTCTTCTTTTCGGAAGGGGTCCTCTGAAGAAAAAAAAGGGGGCGCGCCCATATACACACCTGCACAGTCTGAGTTGGATGGATTTGCTCGCTCCGCAGGCAGCCAGGCCTGCCCTTTTGGTTGCGTGAGTTGCGGAGGCTTCTCAACATGGAGCCAAAGATTTTGGTTGGCGCTGGGAAACCAAGGGAAACAAACTCCTTTTGGAAGTGGCCCTAGTCTGAAAAACCTTCGGTGATTGTGGAACCCGGAAGACCTCAAGGTGAAGACCTCCAGAGTTGGATAGGGTCCAGAGTGCCTGCCATCACTTCACATATGAGGGAACCACTTTGACTTAAGCATTTGCAGGGATGCGTTGCTGGGCTGTCCGTTTCAGACCCGCTGCTAACAACTGTTGACTTGTGGGTTAAATGGGAACTACCACCTAAAAAAGAAAGAAAGTAAAAGCTAAGGTGCTGGCTGGGGACCACCAGGGTTAAAACCATGTTTTGCTCCACCCTGTCTTGGGAGTGCGAGGTGTGTCAATGACTTTCACTCTGCTCCCTTGCGCCAAGCTTCGCATCTGCTTGCTCAGCTCTCTCTCGTCAGAGGTGAAGGTGCACACCGTCCTCAAATGCCATGCGTTTCGCAGGGTTGGGGATAAACAACTAGGTTTTCTAGTAGAGAGGTTGGAATAAGGGTACCCAATTTCTGTTCTCTAGTCTATTTTAGTAGGGGAACCCTCCCAACCTAAAAAAAAGGGTGAGAAAGGGCACTGGGGGACCTAGAC